TTAACACGTAAAACATAAAACGTGAACCTTCTGACCTTCAGGGAAACGTCAATAACGTGGTCACACCAGGTGGAGTTATGGTTGTAAACAACGCCAATGTATTTAACAGACGGTTTTCGTTCCATTTTGTCATTGAAGCTAATGGCGGGCTAGCATTTGATAATTTCTCNCTCATTCTTTTGCCCCTTCAAGAAGGAAACAATTATGCCATTACATTTTTGGGGTTAATGCGCAGGTCCCTTTGTTGAGACGACTCAACTATTTCTAACACGTCTTTGTAGAGTGGTTTGAAATGATGAGTTGGGGTAGGGCAGTCAGGATATGCCGTCTGCATACTTAACAAGAAGAGAAGAATTGCTCACAGGCATAGTGGAAATATAAGCAGAAAATAAAAAAGGGTTATAAAATAGCAACTTGTAGTAAGCATTGTGAGGAGAGTAGAAATGAAGATGTACGACCTTTGTAGCGTGTGAACTGCTGACGGGTTGAGAAACAGTTAGCTGAGTTCAATCCTAAAAGGTTGAACTGCGCCCAAAGAAAGGGATGGGTGCATGCAAACTTTTTCGGGTCACCAACATTGAACTGTGCGCACAGAGTCTTAATGAAGAGCCTCTAAAACACCTTCAAATCAACTGAGGGGCAGGCAATGGGACGGGATTTTGAGGATCCCTTCGTGACAAGGGTGATGAAGGCTATTCTCCAGCAGTCGAGTATACGTTGCCTCGAAATACAATTATTGAAAAGTTTACTTAGTGCACTAGAAAGGAAGGTATCACATTCTTTCAGGACAACGGCTGAGACTCCGCCAGGGCCGCAGGACTTGTGATGATTTAACCGAGCCGAATTTTCATAAATATCGACAGGTGCGACACTGGCGACTGGATCAGTCATGTTTATTTCATATCCATTAGGTAAAGCAGTGAGAGCTGTTTCAGTGTTGATGAAACTCCGATTCAAACCATAAATGTTCACCGCAGCGGATGCGCGGTGTGAGGAGTTGATGCCGAAAATTGGCATGAAGGCTTGCCAGGTCTCACGACTACCTTGTTTATCAAGCAGAGCAGGGGCGTATAAAGAGTTTACCCTTCGAATTTCAGCCCAAATGGAGTTAGAAAGGGAGCTCACCTCGTCGTGCTTATACATTTTGAGGGCACGTTCCATTCTAAGGCCGAGGTTTTTTAGCTGTAGGGAAGAGCATCGATCGCGGTGAATATAAATTGTCGCTGTGGGACAACAGACAACGTGGAAAACATTTAACTAACTTGTAAGGTGATCACAGGAAATGGAAGGGTTGGGATCAGAAAACAAAGTGAGGTCGGAGTGCCGGGTCACTTCCCTTAAGCTCGTGAGGTTTCCTGGATAATGCAGTCTTACTTGAATCTTATGATCACGACTTCGAGTAATGAGATGATGCTTTGTTCTGCTAAAGATGGTAGGGTAAAACTTTCACACAGAGTGATCAGAAATTCCCAGTGAGGCGGTGTTCTACAAGAAGTAAATCGGGAAGATTGATAAAATCCAAATACAGATATGCATCAAGCCTTGTACTCATTTCGTGGCTTTCCGCTGTGCCCGCTCAATGGCGTTGACATCCCTCCTAAGCGGCGGCGGGCACACCTGGATGTTGCTCTCCAGGTGTGGCCGAATGAGCGCAGCAAAAATCTTGGGGAACGACTCTGGTGTGAATTTCCCCAGAAGTCGGCTGAGTTGCTTGAGTTTGAACATTGCCCTCCGGGCTAGTGTGCTGCAGTTAGTTTGCTGGGGCAGATCATCGGTATTGACTGTACCCAGGTCCTTTTCGTTCCTGACCCTCTGCAACGTTCTACCTCCCAGCAAGTAGTCGTTTTCACAATGCCCTGCAATGTGCATAACCTTGCATTTGTCAAAGTTGAACGGAAACCCATTTGCGACCGACCAGTTAAAAAGCCTGTCTAGATCCGAACGGGCTTTGAATCTCCCGGCAGATCCTAATCGTCTGCATACATCAGTAGGTCTGATTGTAGGCCGATGGGGAGATCGTTCACAAATAATGCGAACATTCTGGGGCCTATGATAGAGCCCTGGGGTACCCCACTGGGTGCTCCAAACCTTTCTGAGTGGATGCCGTTCAATCGAACCCGAAAGGTTTGATCGCACAGATAGTCTAAGACCCAATCTATTAGGATTTCGTTGAATCCCAAGTTGTCCAGCTTCTCTATCAGCAGAGAGTGACGAACTCTATCGAAGGCCCTGGAAAAATCCAGCATGGCTACGTCCAGTTGCACCCTTCTGTCCANCTCCATGGTCTCAATCAGGTTGGTTTGGCAGGATCGCTTCCCACGCAACCCGTGCTGGGCATCGTGCAGGCAAAGATCTTGCTCGACAAACTCATTGATTTTGTCGTCAATGAGTCTCTCCATTACCTTTGAAACCACTGAGAGCAGGGCTACCAAACGGTAGTTGTTTGGTAAGGTACGGTCCCCCGTCTTGAACATAGGAGGGACCACGTATGTCTTCCACTCGTCCGGGATTACGCAAACTCTCATCAAGTGGTTTAACAGTCTGCTTAGGAGTAGGGTTAACTGCTCTGAGCACTGCTGCAGTAGTATGGGTGGTATCTCATCAAGTCCCGGTGCCTTTTTAGCTACGAGACTTGACAGTTTTAGTTCTACCTGTGCAGGGGAAAAAGACACAGGTTCCATGAACCTGCTGGGTATGGAGTCTACTGCGGGAAGACACTTTTCGTCTGTCCGACTGACAAGTTCTGGGCTGAATACCGTGGAGTAGTACTCAGACAGGGTGTTGGCTGCAGCCCGGTTGCCATCCGTAAGGGATTCATCCACACGACGGATGTCCGTGATCCCGGGTTTTGCCTGGGTCACCATGGAGATGTCCCTATAGAAACTCCTCGGGTCCGCAATGACCCGGTTTAAGAACTGTCTCTGGTGCTCACCGGTGTCTTGCTTTCTTTGAAGGTTACGTTGGTTGCGTAATTTCACGTAGGCCTCGTAATCCCGGGAGCTCTTGGACCATTGGTATTGGTTCCACACGCGTCTTTTCCGTGCCAAGGTCTTAATTGTACGGCGACGCAGTCGCTTTTTTGGTTTCAATGGTCGAACCTGTGTCCGTGGTACAAAAATATGCATGGCCTCGGCGAGGATCACCCTCAATTTGCTTCAATGATCGTTGACGCAGGAAGGGTAAAGGAGCCATGAGGCTGACTCCAGGAAGGCTCGCATGCCAGGAATGTCGGCCTTACGTAGGTTCCAGCGAGTGGACCCTGTCGACCGTATCAGTTTCCTGGTGTGTACGAATGTGAATCGTATGACACCATGGTCGCTGAGTCCCAGTGGCATAGAAACCTCTAGTTGGTCGACCGTATGGGGTTTGTTAGTAAGAATCCAATCTAGTGCCGAGGGTCTCGAGTTCCCTCGCCACCGGGTTGCTTGCCAGACGTGCTCGTGCCACCCTAGGTCTATCACCGTGTCAAAAAATACTGAGGTTATGGACCCAGGTCCCGCTTGGCAGGTCAACGTACTAAAGCAAATCTCCGGTAAATTGAAATCCCCCATTATCAGAACGTAGTAATATTTCAACCTCATGACGTGCTTCAGTGCATCGATAATGGCCGAGTTCGTCGACTGTGAGCAGTTTGGTGGCCTATAGAGAACACGTACCAGGCATTGTCTTTTGCCGTCAAGACGCTCTCCGGTACTCTTGCTATTACAGGCTCCGTGATCCTCACAGCCCTTAGTTTCCTGCTGATGTAGAGGGCACACCCTCCACCTATGCCGTCTGTTCTGTCCTGTCGCAGGATGTCTCGCTCGGGAATTTCCAGTTCGGCGTCGGATATCCCCAAGTGAGCCCAGGTCTCCGTTATACCGACCAGTAGTGGCCGGTGTTGGTCAACCTGAAGACGGAGCTCACACAACTTGTTTGACGGGCTTTGGCTGTTGGTATACATACAGCCCCATGACTCTACTATCATGTTGTTGCTTGCTAAGGGTAGATTGTCTGTAGACAACTCAGAGAGGCTGCTCGCCGTTGCCGGAGTTTGTGTTAACGTCAATGGCTGTGCAGGGGTTTCTAACTGGGAGCTGCGTGCGCAATGTGTGCTAACATGGTTTAGACTGCCAGCTTTGTTTGAGCTGGCAACGTCAAGTTTTTTTGTCTGGAAATGGGAGCGCTGCTGTTGACCTTGCTACCTGACACAGTGGTCAGACGCAGTACTGGTTGTGCGTCCGTGAGTGCACTTGCACGTCTGGTCTCTTGGCGTTCGCTCCTTGGTCTGCACCGATGAAGATGTATGTCTGAGGGGAACTTGTTTCTCAGAATTTCTCAAGGGTCTCTTGAGCCATGGACTCGGTGAGGAATGTGACCCTGAGCATTCTGGGCTGCGATATGCGCATCAAGTGTGTTGGCCTAGGTAATCGGCTTAGACCGCTGAGCACTGGTCCCCCAATTTCGACCATAGAGGCTACGTAGGTTCATTGAAAGAGGTCATGGTGTGCATCATCTTGGGGCTTGCCTCCCCGCAATTCAGGGACTCCGTGCAAGATAATGCTCTTTGCCTAGAATTGTGTTCTGTCTGGGCCCTTGGGACGCGTTCAGTACGTTCGGACGGACCTGCGTAGGTCGGGTTTTATGAGAACTTCAGAGGATACGCTTAAGGTTTTGCCGATGTAAGAAGTCTGCTTGTGTCACCCTCTGAGCCAAGAGTCACCTTAAGAAGCCTGGGGTGCTCTGCATATAAGCAGCCCTGGCTCCTCGCTAGTTGTCTGATTCTTAGTGGTTTTACTCTAGGGAGCGACATATCGACACACAGTTGGTGGAAAACTCTGCTATCGTGGATATCCCTCTCGGCCAGCGATGAAGAGTTGGATTCTGGTAGGTCAAATACTATGACCAATCGGGTGGTAGGACCAGCCCGTATGGATCTGGGTGTAGCAGTGCTCTTGTGGTGCACGGTTTTCCACTGACGGAGTNCACCGTTGCCTTTTGCGCACCGTTTTGGTGTGTTGGCTTGACCTTAGCTTCTCTTGGTCCGGCACTTGGGGTGCCGATCAAACGATCGGTTTTTATCCCTATGCCAGTATTACTCCTTCTGTTATTGGTCTTCTTACCGTCCTTAACCATCTCAGTTTGAGTACTAACCACAGTAAAGTCTGCCGCCTTCTTAGTTCTATCTCTCGCTAGTTCCGTTAGTAGTTGTCTACAGCCCAAACAGTACCACTGNACCACTGCAGAAAATCGTGCTCAACCTGTAACTCGTATTCTCTACTGTCAGCTTTACTGCAGACCTTGTGGTACCAAGACTTGCAGGCGTCGCATTGAATACCGTTGCGGACGACAGAATTGGTGCACCTGGGGTTGCCGCATGGAACCCTAGTTGATGTGGTGGTGTTCGGCGCTTTGCTGATATTCATCCTGTCCCCTCCAGTAACCATATTTTAAGAATTTATAAGTGACCTAGATGATAGTTTAAACGGAACCGTGTAAATAAGCGAGAAGAGAACAAATTGAATAAATTGAATAAAAAAAGAGGAATAACTAATAGGGAAACGAATAGAAATACAGACACAATAAAAGTAGTAGGAAACTATTCCTAGGGCTAAGGACTAAGGAAACAAAGATATAGCAAAAACGGAAAAACCCGAGTTCCGCGACGAGTTACAAAGCAGAGCACTATGCAAAGACACGAATAATAAACAACAATAAAATAAGCGTTCAAAAACGCTACAATAACCTAAACTGAAAGACGTAACGACCAGAAATGACTAAAAATGATCTAAAAAGACAAACCACGTCAGGTGTTCAAACCGCGCAGAAGCGCCAAGTGATTTCGTTGATCTAAGTGCAAACATTCCCCAGATCCCAAAGTAAACTGAAAAAAAATAAACAACTGTCTGGAAAAAATGGCCATCTAAACATTCTTTAAGAACAAGAATCATGTCAACCGTATAAAATGTTCACTTCATTCTGATCATCAGATTACCACGGATTGCACGAATAGAGAACCCGTAATATACTGCTCAGAACCGGATTGATTCCAACCCGAAATGCGGACACCAATGAAATACATGAGGAATTGATAGCAGCAAATGATTATGTTTATTGATGGAATTAGAGCATGTTTTATGGAATGTAATAGTCCATATGATTGG